AAAGCACTTTCGAAAGTTCAGGAGGAAGAGAAACACAGGCTACTTTCGCCACCACAAACCAGAACTGAGCAAGAAGAATGTTCGGGATCCTTTCTCGCCCAGCGCGTGCAGCGTGCGGCTGACGACGCGGCTGGCTGCATGCGCGAGTGGAAGTGAGCTGAGCGTGCTTGGTACGGTAAACCGGTAGACAGCGGCCGACCTGCGGCTGCGTGAATGTCACACGATGTGCGACGCGGGCTCATCAAGCTTTCCGGGAAGTAGAGCGCTGATTGGTGGGACGATTTTTGCCGCTTAGCATGTCGGTCAGTTTCGTGCCGTCGGGTCAAATCCTGAACTGACCCATCGATATGCATCGTCGTAAAACCCAATCTGGTGTTTCGACGCACAGCCACTGCACAGACAGTACATAGCTCCGGGTGAGTGAGGGAAGCTTCCGGCAAGCCTACAAGCCGCGGAGGTCATGGGCCGGAGACAGCCTTGCCCTTGCAAGCTTGGCGCAGCACGAGTGGTTGCTGAGTGCAGATCAGCGCTCTCACTTGTGTGTCTGACACTGACAGACTCCTCACCTACAAGCTTGGCCAATGCAGTCTGTCATGTCTACTCATCTCGTTTTGGGACTCCGTAGCGTTGCATAAATCAGGGAGTCGTGAAAGCCCCTGCCCCTGGGCATGGTGCAGACCAACGGTACGGGTAGACACAGCCCGACCGAGATCAAGAGCCTTGCACTCTGTCGTGTAGCATGTAGATCTACATGATGTAGGCTGTAGCTATGATGGTCTACCAAGTACAGTCTGTATCGGCTATAGAGTGACCGGATATAAGAATATATCGGCTACAGTGATATTGGTACGAAATATCAAAAGCAAAACGTATTTTATCCAGTACAAATATCACTATAACCAATATTATCAGATGTAATGATATATCGGATATTATGATGGCAACAACGAATCAAAACATGCATAACACACTACATTATTATCGGCTATAGTGATAACTTTAAAATACATGTTGCAATAATATCAAAGGCCCTATTTCTTTACTTTCTTCACGTTGCTTATTTTGATAGTGACACATGTTCATGTACATAACAGAATTTTTTATGGAAATGCGGGCACTGTCAACTATGCAGCATGCTCATTTGTCAAAACGCCATGCTGGAAGTATTTCCTTGCCTTTCATGTGTCGCTCGAAAAAAATCGATCGTATCGCATATAGTGATGCATCGGTTATAGTGATAAAATCACGGAAATCAAAAGGGTACGCTATAGCCGATACAGACTGTACTGTAGATCTACCAATGACGTCATGGGCATGACCAGGAAGATCTACAGTAGCTGAGGTCTGCTTCTGATAAGCTGAGGATAAAGATGACTTACATCATTGTATGGATATGCATTCAGGGAGTCGTGAAACCCCTAGTAATAGTAATACTACAAGGTAGTAGATCTACCCGACTTCCTGGATGCAACAGCATCTGACTAAAGCCTAAGTAAAGCCTAAAGGTAGTAAAATCGTCACCTTGTGGACGGCCATCACAGACACTGGCACTGCCTAGCGCCGTAGCGGTGTTGCAGTGCGTGTGGAGCTCGCCCTATACCATGTATACTACAGTGCTGGCAACAGAAATCCGACCCCCTTGCCGGCGCGCCGCGGCGGCAAGGGGGTCGGATTTCTGTTGCCAGCACTGTAGTATCGAACACTGTCTTGTCGCCTTGATCATTTTGGCAGCGAGCATGGCACAGCTAGCTAGCTAGGCGAGTGACAGTAGCTCAGCTGGTTGATCTTTTTTTAGTGAGCTGAAGGCTGAAGTCATTTCCGCTCGTGTTCGGAACAGATGGATGGATTACTTACTTCGGCATTATTTTGTAAAGCACGCAACCCAGTATGCGGCTATTATGGCACTAGTTATCATGGTTATATCTGGACTGAAGTTTGCTTTCCAGCAGTGACCATGGTGACATCTTACTACATACATGTATCGGTAATCGTACTTGGATCTACAGAAAAGAGATACCTAAGACTAAGTCACAGTAAGTGTGTTCTCGCGTTTGTTGCGCAGGGGTTTCTCTCTGCGGTACCCGCGCAGTTAGTTGTGCGGGCGTTGCTCTTTGGGTTTGGCCAAAGCCGACTGCCGAGCCGCATATCTACGTAGATATCACAGTGTTGAACCGAGTCCGAGTGTGGAGTGTTGCAACTGACAGAACCGCCTTCACGGTCGTGTCCGAGTCCATTCATTCGTTGGTCCTGCTCCCCTTGCCAGCAAGAATGGGAGCGAAGGTAAGCAAAATCAAGCCGGAGGAAGTAGCCAGAATTGAACAACGCTACATGGACACAGGCGTGCTGATTTTCTGGCAGCTGCAACGCAGCAATCTAGAAGAGCAGCAGCAGCAGAGGAAAAAGAAGTCGCAGAGGAAAAAGAAGTCTGGTAAAACCGTGGTGACTGTGCGTGCATCGAAAACAGATTCTGTAACGACCAGTGATAAAGACGAAGTGCACAATAATTGTAGCTTCAATGTGTCTTGATGCGAGTCGATGAAGCTAGCGTTTAGCTGAAAGCCAAAGAGTCCTACTATCTGCTACACCACTCATTGCCTGCTGCACCTCAGCCGCCCTGGCTGGTAATAACCATTATTGGAGCTTTCTGGTGGTGTGCCCAGTCAGGGACAAAGAATATGCCGAAGCCACCGACTTAGCTGGAGCTGCAACCTCCTAACTCTATGCTGGATTGCAAGTCAGCACGCCATAATGGTCGCGCCAATGCTAACGATGGTAACCACCCTATCTGACTGCAGCCAGTGTGTCCGAAACATAACAAAAAAGATCCGTTGATCCCACTCCGCCTGCACTGCCACTAACTGTACATCATATCAAGAAAGTAAGTTGATCGCGAAGAAAGAAGTGCAATGAATTCCGGGATATAGCAAGGTGCCACATGCAGACACCAGAAAGTGCATGCAGGGGATAATCCTCCATGAGCTTGAACGAAGACGTGTGCATGAAAATGTCATGCCACTGCAGACAAGAAAATAAGGAATGGAGAGCCGGGGAGAGCTACGTGAGTGCCTACTCAATGGCAACTGTACTTTGAAGTAGCCGTGCAGTTCCGCTGCTTCCTGCCAATGGAGAGCGGCGGTGCGCATGCCAACCCTCCGTACAGCTTCATGCATGGACCACGTTCAATGATTCCACCAAGCTCCTCTTTTTTTTGGCCACAGTCCATTGCGAGGATAAAGGATTTCAGAAAAGCCCAAGCAATGATATCACTCAGGTTGCGTGCGGACGTCACCCAGTTCATTCAACGACGTCATCTAGATCCCATGCTGTTACCCAGACTTCCATGACATCACCTAGGCCATTCGATGACACCACCCGTGCAAGTCATGCTATGCCGTCGCCCCGATCATTCAAGGGAGATCACCAAGACCTTGCTTCCACTGTGGCCTATGTCAGCAACGCCTGCATGCGAGTGGCTGTTCACTTGCCACCGCCTGGACGCACAAATCTAGCCAACGTGTAGGTGTGTACGTCCTGTTGTTCATTTGCTGTGCTCTTACAATATTCATATAGACTTTGATTTTGAAGTGTACAGTATTGGTCACCATGGTACAGTAAAACCTGTGATTAACAATCGATCACCTCTTGGGGCCCAGAGAAAGCGGTCTTTAGTGGCAGGTGGTCCTTAGCTAGAGGGTTGCACCGCACAACCATAAGAAGTGGTCTGTAGTACAGGCTGGTCGTAGTCACCGGTTTTACGGTAACTACATAATTGCCTGCACTATCACCTTGATCGCAGGTGTAAAAGAAGTGTATCACCCGTGGAGGGTGGAAGTTATCCGTCCTCGTGCAAAGCTCTCTGTGTTCATCGACACTGACTTTCACTGTGACTTTGATGCCTTGAGCCGGTTTCGTAAATGCTTTGCTGCTCATGACAAGACTTCATTGCAATTAGTTCGGCCAGTCATGCTGAGCTCCGCTGATGAGACCTAAAAAAGTTGAAACGGCTACATTGTAGCTGTCCAGACTGGAGATTGAGTATTTCCTGTGTTTCCACCAATGCATGGTACACACTACGAGTGTGGGAAGACTCGTACAGTAGAGTCGCGCGCTGAAGAACGTGGAGCCCAAGAACGTCCAGCCTGAAATACTAAGAACGCCACAGCCTAAAGCTAAGCACGGCGGACCGCGGTGTTGGTTTTCTGGGAGCTTGTGAGATACATATGATTCAGTACGGATTGTTTCATTGTTTATAAGAACGCAGCCAGATTGCTGAACAAATAAGAACGTCCCAGGCTAACCCCTTGGAAACAACGTTCTTGGGCGTGTGACTCTACTGTAGCGTGTGCCAGCCTTCTGCAAGACTTAGAGAAGCGCACAAGCACACACATACTTCAAAAGTACACACACACACACACACACATACTATAACTGTGCTTGCTCACTGCCATAAACTGGCCACATCGTGACAGCAGGTGTCCCCCTCCCATTTGGAGAGGGGAGGGAAAGCAAGTACACACACACACACACACACACTTGTACTTGTTGCACACTGCCAAAACTGGTCACGTGGGTCTCCCCGGGAGAGGGGAGAGAGACTCAAAAGGAATCTTGGAAAGATGACTCAATTGGCTATTGAACCGCCCAACGGCCGACACCCCCTGAAATCCCCAAAACTCTGGGTGGACTTGAAAATGATCCCACTTATGGGCTCACCACACCTCAGTAAGTGGGTGAGGACAAGGTGCAGAAAAGGATTGACGGCATCAGGGTATCCGTCCTGGGATCCAACTGCAGTTACCCCTGCCCCCAGTGAAGGTAATACGTGCTACTAGTGTGGGTGGCTAAATCAGAGTGGATCTGATATTAGCTTCACTAGCACCATTGATTACACAAGAGTTAATCTAGCCAGAAGCACACACACACACACACACACACTGACAATCAAGCACCAGTCCTGCGCACGCACGCACGCACCACACAGCAACATGCCAGGAGGAGGATCTCGCATCGATGTAGCTGCTATACTTCCAAAAGCACCGCTGCATCACCCTAAACTATGTTAGGTGTACTAACAATTTTCGAAGCAGTATACAAATAATCATGGCATAGACTATATCTCTTATACAACATGATGATGATAATGACGATAAAGTGAAGAAAGAAGAAAATATCAGAAGTGAAGTGTGAAGCAAGGGACGACAATAGTGGCAAGATATATATAAAGGCAGAATGGACATTGAACAAAACAAGTGAGCACTACAGGGCACGCAACATATCTGGACGTGGTGCCAGCAGAGTGTCAAAAGCAGTACGATATCGGGTCTAGGGATGATAGAGTCTGTGGCATGGTTTGTGGACGACACGGTACGGGAAACAACAAACAACGCTGCCAATTATGTACATAAAGCACATATGAATGCATGCACGCACACACATTCGGCAAGTATAGATAGTTACTTTCAGCAGCGGGAGCAATGGCCCAGTGGCCTGAAGGCACAATTGAACAGCCTCAATGTCCAGCAAACCTCAACAAAACAAAAGGGGGGGGGGGGGGGAGAGCAAGATGCCAACCAGATCAGGGTGATCGGTGCATGGACTACAGCTAGCAACACACGCACACACGCACAAAAAACACACTCGGTGCAGTGATGCACCTGAACACACAAAACACATGCAATGCATTCTCTCAAGTTGTGCTCGGTGAGCATGTGCGCACGCATGTTTGCAGTCACAAAACAACAAAAACAAACACAAAACGAAGTTTAGGGAAGGTTACGCACGACACAGGAGCTCTCGGCTTCAGGCCAAACTTCCGAGGATGGAAGAAAGAGAAAGAAGAGAATATAGAGTTAGCCTGGCTCTTGGTAGCCAACACAGAGTGGCCTCCCAGAATAGAAAAAAAGAGAATAAAGGAACACATACAAAAGCAGAAGCACAGACACACAGCGCACCCGCGCACACACACACATGTATTGCACAGCGTGGTGCGGTCTACTCCTCTGAAGATGCTGAGCGCTCCGACAAGCTTAGGTCCAGTTAGGGGGCAGGACTCCAAGCGGTAGCATGAACAGCAGCGGTGCTGGTGGGCAGCAGCAAAAGCACTTCGCGGACAGTGGAGAAGAGTCAGTGTAGCAGAATGCAGTAAAGCTCCAAGGTGGATGAAGTGGTGATGTGCGCGCACCCAAGCAACCCTCTTGCTCGGGGATCAGGCCATGCCAGGTCAGATGAAGGACGATCTCAGCCAGCAATGGCTTCCTATGCACTTTGATCAGCGTTGAAGTCAAAATCAGTGAACTGAGCCTGAAGCACAATATAGAAAGAGAAACTCGTGTGAGATCACAAGACAGACAAAGCGATAGTAACTGTTGATCAAGAGCCAAAGATCACATAAGGTACAAGAGCAAATGAAGAGGAATTAGGCAGCACGATAATTTCTTCTTCCAGTTTGTTACTGGTGTGCGCTATGCAATGTGCAGTGTGCTTGTACCACAGTGCTTGTATCGCACAGGCAAACACTTTTCAACAATAAAGCAGCAGAAAAAAATTGTCCGTTAGCACTATTCAAGAGTACCCACATGTTCCGATGTGAGGGAACACCCCCCCCCCCCCCACACACACATACCATACAAACACTTGCACAGATTGCGTGCGTGCGTGAGTGTGTGCATGTGAGTGTGATAGTGTAGGGGTCCTGCTGAGAAGCGATCCGTATATTCAAGTAGATCGGATAAGAAAATATGCGACCGCAAGAAGCACACACTTGACACAATCATATCAATGCTACATTACCTGATCGCTAGCGTCCAAGTGCCGCGGTTCTCTCGGTGGGCTAAGGCATGGCTTTTCTGTTGTGAATTCCTCATCAAAATTGCTGACATCGTGCACATTACGGACCTTGGGCTTGAATGCTGGTGGAATTTCCTTGGCCAGTAGTTTGCCGAAGTCAAGCGTCTGGACGTGCACATATAAATGAACACACACGCGCGCGAGTGCGCAGGCACATGAAAACAAGACCACATTAGGTTTGCTGATCTTGAGGGAGGGCATGAATGTTCAGCCATGACTACAGCACATTTCCGAATAAAATGCATTGCACATGTAATTGCACAACATCCTAGGCCATGGACCATTCTCGCACAGCGATAAGCCACACTCGCTACACACCAAACAACAGCACATTTGTATTGCGGTTAGGAGGGCCAGAAGTGTAAGCTGACGATAGCTTCGGACACAAATGATACATGTTTGAAACAGCTTGAGTGATTTTTGGAACATAGGGTGTGGGAGTGGTTGTGAACGGTAGATAGTAACCATTACTTAATACATTGAATGTGAAGGACGAGCAGCCAATAGATGACCAAAAACTTAAACAATTACGAAGGCGACCGCTGAGTACAACATTACACGACAAGGATGATTCACAATAAAAATCATTGGCAGAATGCATAGGATAGATCAACTCAGCAATATTACATTGAGGATACGATTGAGGATACGCGTGATTCAAATGATAATTCTCTGGCTCATCGAGCTCTCCTAGCGTTTCCAGAGGCTGCGTCTGGGCAAAGCTTGGCCCAGTGGCCAGGTTTTCCGCAGGCGAAGCATACGACTTTCGCTGACGGGGCAGCAGACGACTGCTGTTCGGTTCGCGGAGCTGGAGGGACCCTGGGGCTCCGCGGCGAGTATGGCTCGTAGTGAGGACGAAAACTAGAACTGGGCCTCACTGATCGGCTCTGTCGCCTGGTCTTCTCCACTTCAGTCTCAGCCCTCTTGATCCTTTTCGCGTCCTCGTCATCGTCGGCAATGTCATGCTCGCCTTTGTACTGGATCGCCGTGGCCCAGTCATATTTGTCGGCGATTTTTATAATTTTCTTCCTTTTGTCGCATAAGGACATACCTTCCATGATGGCGGTTTTGGCAGGTCCATCCGGGATGGTCCGGGCCGCGTCCTCCAGCTTCGCCTCCACCTGGTCCACAAAGTCGTGATGCTCCTTGCAGCTCTCCTTACGAAAGGAGTAAGTAGTTGTTTGCTTTGCTTTGAGGCGATGCAACTCCGCATTGGCAGTTTCCAGTTGCTTCTTGCATGCCTCCATTTCAGAGACAGACTTCTCTGCTAGAGCATGCTGCTCTTTGACAAGTTGTATCAGGTTCGTTGCCCAGTCTGGCGTGGCGGACGAAGCTGAAGCGGGAGCAGATGCGTTCTCAGCCATGCTGGTGAGAGAAAAATTTCATAAATGTCTGTTGGAAAGACGAAAAAGAACGTGGTGTCGAAAAGGCTACCTCAAGACGACTGGCCAGTCGTGCTCATGCGCAGCGGTTTAGAGAACATGTGAAGATGTACGAGTAAAAAGAAATTGATCAGATGACTGCTCACTTGTGAGAAAAAAACACGAGAAAAAACCGCTGTGACGAGAAAATACTTCTCGCCTCTGTCGCTGCGCTCTGCCGTCGAGAAGATACCATACTTTCCCCCATACAGAGAAAGTTTTCAAGGCTCCTTCAATGGCCAATTACCTATATTTCTCACACAACAAACAAACTTGCATGCAATGTCCACAAGACCTGGAAGAGGCCTAGATCAGTAACTGCAAAGTTCTGGACAAGAGTTGAGTGACAGAACGACCCCCCCCCCCCCCACCCTAAAGTACATTGTATTCTGAAAAATATGTGTAGGTGAATTAGGTTGGGTTCAAGACAAGCTACAACCTACATCCACTCAGGACAAAACAAACCCATCTTGATAGAACAGTGCACCGACTGAAATAAAAAAAGTACCTATAACGAGCGGGTTAGAAACCGTTGGCTTACCCTGAAAAATGCTTGTCTGCGAATATCGGCAGCATCTGCCTCACTGGCACCAAGACGCTTCTCAGGGTTTCTTCTCATCAGACGACGCATGATAGAGACAGCCTCTTGGGATAAGAAGCGTGGGTAGCGCACATCATCATTGACAATGGAGTCGAACACTTCTTCTTCATCGTCTCCCGGGAAGGGCGACTAAAAAGGAAGTTGGTAAACACACCACACACGCACGCACACACACACACAAGAGAGAACAAGGTTGTCCACTATTCTATGAGAGACAGCCACTGGCTGGAGAATATAGCATATGAGTGATGACAGAACATAAGGAACAGCACACCATGCCCACGCGATGTACAGATACCAGGTCTGAGATACATGATGAAGATGAGCCTGCCTTTCCCATTATTAAAGCCCTACCCTCTTGTATGCAATGGTACTTCAAATCAAAAACACTCTACATTTTGAAAAGGACACTGTCGAGCGCCTGCACCGGCCAAACTCTATGTCATGTCGAGTGGCATCACCTTTGTACAAGCAGACCAGAAGTAACTGGCAGGGGCGAGAGCAAAGAAATCAGAAGATGGCCAACTCATCCATCCATCATCGTCTGCAATGCTTACCTCTCCGACCAACATTTCATAGATGAGTACACCGAGGCCCCACCAGTCGACAGCACGCGTGTACGATGTATCCGTCAACACCTCCGGAGCCAGAAACTCCGGCGTGCCACAGAATGTACTAGTTCGCTGTCCATAGCCCATGTTCTCCTTGCAGAGACCGAAATCAGCAACCTTGACGTAGCCGTCGCGATCCAGCAGCAAGTTGTCCAGCTTCAGATCACTAGAAAGTAGTACCATGGATACACACACACACACACACACACACACACACACACACACACACACACACACACACACACACACACACACACACACAGACGCACACACAAGCACGCACAAGTTTAAAAAAAAGATGTACAGTCAACTTCGCGTATAACGACACTCGGCGGGGCATCAGAAAAGTGTCCTTATTCGCGAAGTGTTGTTATACCCGAAGTCCCATTATATGTATTACAGTTGGATGGGACTTTGCTCTGGGCATGGACATTCTGTCGTTATTCGCGAATTGTCGTTATATCTGCAGTCGTTATTAGCGAAGTTGACTGTACACAACACACACTTGAACTAAGTATCCCAACATTGGCTTCTGAAACCAGGACATTTTTCGCATGCCCACTAGTGTGCCATCACATCCAAGCTACTACAGTAAAACCTGTAATGGCGACCACTCGACCGTGGCGATCACTTTTCCTTGTCACGGACGCATTCACATTCAAAACACCTCGGATAAGGCGACCACTCGCTCAACGCGACCGGCGACTGCCCACCCGCGACCGCGTTGCACAGTGCTAGTCATGTAAATGTATGCATTGCATGGTGCACCAGGCATGGTAGATTTACACATCAGTGCAGGAAGTGTAGATGAACATGGTGCATGCACGACATTTGACAGGTCTGAGGACCCCAGGCACATGAGTCGTGCTAGAGTAGCATAGGTGTGTGCACTGTGATGCACTGATCAAAATGATGACAGTATCACATGTGGATATGGTCACGTGACTCACTGAACCTGGATAAGAAGACCACCTGGCCAAGGCGACCACTTTTTCTCGTCCCTTGAGGGGTCGCCTTAGACAGGTTGTTTCACTGTATGTAATTCGCTTAGCTTCAAGCACTACGAAAGGCTTACAGTCATCTCATCCTATTAGGGAGTATTCACGAGCTAGGAAGAGTAGAGCAGTGATCATTGAGCAATGCTGTGTATTGCAATGTGACTCACCGATAGACAATGCTCTTCTGATGAAGATATTCCAAACCAAGCACGACACAACCAGCGTAAAAGCTGTAAGAGAGAGAAAAACAAGAAAAAATCGGATATCAATTAATGCCACACACAGTCACACAGATACACACACAAACACACACAGGGCAAGAACGTAGCTCGCCATTATGAGCGCGATCTGCACAGAGACAAGACAAAAAAGCCGAGGCTTCACAGGCTTTTTTTTGTCTCCAAAGAACCAAGTACATTTGGCACTATGTCGGTACAGTCTGTACTGCACTTCAAGAGATTTAGTACACGTGGAGCCATCTATAGGGTACTGGTACTCAACACGGAGGAAAAATAGCACCAGGGCCAGCTCTGGTTTACTGCACTAATCTATAGCACAGCGGCATAGGGTGCAGTACTACCGTGCAGCGTGTTTCTCTTACATAGTACGCGGCTCTGTGAAGATGTCGGCGTGGATGTGCATCATGAGATCACCACCACAGGCATACTCCATAACGAAGCAAACATGATCCTGCCAGCAAACAAGCAAACAACCAACAGCAACAGCAGCAACAGCACAGCCATTGTTAAATTCTGCAACAGCCACATTGTAGTCAAGCATTCCGATGAATCATACGCTACAACATTCCGTCATCCACGTCACTCTCACAGTTAACACACATGGTACCAGTAGTTAGAGTCCTATACTCTAAACAATGAGCTGATGCGATCGGGGACAGGGTACACAAAGAAGAGAGAGAGAGAGGGAGAGAGAGAGAGAGAGAGAGAGAGAGAGAGGGAGAGAGAGAGAGAGAGAGAGAGAGAGAGGGAGAGAGAGAGAGAGAGTCCACTAACAGTGCATTGTGCAAAGCAGCATGTTCCTCGACTCGAAGCAAGGTTACCCCCATCAGTGTTTGAAGTGTGTTGAGCAAAGTGGCATCACAAAACACTGGTTCGACACTCAGTACAGACAAAGACTACGTCATTTGCAAAGCCCTCCAGTCAGCTATGTAGTCACTGTAGATGTGACCAGGAGTGGGATACTGACGAAGGTAGCAGCTAACATCCAACCCAACACCCCCCCCCAGACTCACCTGTGTTTGGAAACAAGAGATGAGATTGACGAGGAAGGGGTGCTTTGCCTCATTGATCACTTCGAATATTCTCCTTTCAGACATCAAGCTGTCATGGCAAGAATGAAGAAGAGCAGAGCAAAGTGCATAACGTCATGTTGGACTCCAAACAACAGCAACTATCTACAACATCATTGTCTAAAGTAAAGTGCAGTGTAAAACGGCTATAGCGCGAGCTGTTGATCGTAGTGAGTTTGTCACTTGATGTCACTTGAGTCGGCATAATCACCACGGGCGGGACATGTACGAGTACACATTATAGATGACTGAATGACGTCTTATACATCATATGAACGCACGTAAGATCCATACTCATGGCGCACGCATATGATTTTAAAATTTAAACAGACATGTGATGCCTTGTACATGTGCATGTTGGATGCGCGGGACTTTTTTGGATCTTCCTAAGTTCAGGGTCGACAGAGGTCCGAAGAATCGGTGAACTGTCGCTGAAATCAATATAGCCAATGAAATGATTGCCAGTTTAGTTTGTTCTGATGCACCACAGCCACTATCACACCCGATATATTAGAGAGGTTCCGCACTACGTAAAGTTGAGCAACTTTACATTAGTGGGCGGGAAAACCCGTGAATTCGCGAGTTTGCACTCCACTTACGGAAAGTTGTCTACGGAGAGTACGTAGATAGGGCTCTGATAACGTAGCTGGTCCGTAAGTGGATTGGGGTACACATTTATGACTCTCTCCCCAGGTCGGTCTGGTCGTACACTGCCGCGTTCGGAGTTGCCAAGGGCAGCTACGTGATTTGAAAACTCTGTATGGCGGAACCCAGATGCGCATGCAGTTTACGTAAGACTTTCCGTAGATCGACTACGTTTTTTACTAACGTAATTACGTTATGCGGAACCTCTCTATTATTACAAACGATATCAAGAGTCCATAATCCCCCAGAGTGCGCAACTGGGATGGGGTTGTGGGACGGCGTAATCCGTGATGTACGTCAATTTTTGGGTCGGACTTGCCTCATTCCGTCGACGCGGACACGCGGTGCAACACAGTCCACACTTCCCCTACTCATGACATCATTATTATGACGTGCAACACGGATGTCGCCGTCCCAGATCTGATAAGTGAAGTTGCGCACTCTGGGGGGTTATGTTACCTTGACGATATTATATCCGATACAACGAGTGCATATGATAATGATTGTGCTGTTTCAAGATCCAATCACAACATCCGATATACGTGTACATATCCCCCAAAACCGATCTCTTTTATAGCCGGCGCAGACCATAGAAGACAAATCTGAATGAGTGAATAACAACGACCAAGCATGAAGATCTGATGCGATCCTCAGTAAGACCAATGTCGTCAGCACTACATCTGCACAGATAGATTACCTTTCTACTTCATCACGGGCCAGGATGTCACCCTTCTTCATGGCCTTGATAGCTACGACAGGTGTGTTCGGGTTTTTCACACTCTGTGCCAACATGACCTGAAGTGAGAAAACGAATAAACAAACACGTCAAAACGAGAGAGAGAGAGAGAGAGAGAGAGAGAGAGAGAGAGAGAGAGAGAGAGAGACACAGAGAGAGAGAGAGAGAGAGAGAGAGAGAGAGAGAGAGAGAGAGAGAGAGAGAGAGAGGGAGAGAGAGAGAGAGGGAGAGAGAGAGAGAGACTAGCTCTAGTTCAATATGACGTCTGCAGTACAGCAAGTCCTAACTCAATACACCAGTCCAGAACACACACACACACACACCATGTGCGCCCGTCGCAAAAGAAGCATGCAGATCTGCAAGTGCAATGAATGTACACCCACTGATTTTCTCTTATAGCAGCGACAGCGGACAAGATCTGAATGAAAACAGATCAAGACTTGCGCCACATACATGCCTAATCCACATAACTTGCGACGCCAAGGGGAATTGACCTACAATACACATCTGGTCACACACACACACGCACTCTCGGGTAATACAATACAAGCGGACACAAGAAGGGAGCCAGTACCTTTCCAAAATGCCCACGACCAAGCACAGACATGCACTGGAAGTCATTGACGGTGAAGTAGTTGCCGGAAGGCGCGGGAATGGCGGACATTGACGAGACCGACGACGACGTAGCAGCACTCGATGAGCCGTGGCGCGTTTCCGTTGGACTACACAAGCAAGAGTAGAGAGGAGAAAATATGCCGCAATGCAAGTATTTAAACCCAACGTTACCAAGAACACCTAGTAAGATAGCGGCCACACCGCACAAGCCTCCTGCTGGCTGATGAGCCAAAACGATTTGTGCACTGCCACCGCCATTCAGCTGATCGTCTGGTCACACTGCATTCCCAGCACCTGCTAAATGAATGAATGGATGAATGACGTATATGTTTTCAAAAGTCGGATTATTTCTCTCAGAAATGGATCCCGTGGGGTCAAGACCTTCATCAATATGACCTTCAATCACCAGGTATGCTTGGCAGAAAAAAAATTATAGTTCAGGTTTCCTGCGCTGACGACGATTAAAAATTTCTTCAAAATGTTCGTCTTGAGAGAACAATTTCAGCCTCACACCATGATTTCTCTCTGGCAGCTGAATGCAAGCAACACTAGACGGTCTAGAAAGGCCAGTGACATCGAAAGGGCTTGAAAACACCCCCCCCCCCCAAAAAACCCCGTCAGCTTGAGAAAATGGGCGACTGATAAAAGTTCAATGAAAACACGATCAAGATACTCAGGTTGCGGATGAATGCACCTGGCAGGATGCGGTGGGACCTTTTTGGACTAGATGATGCTCAGCAGAAAAAGAGTGGAAGGCAGTCATTGCCATCGAAAATGCCGCGTGCCTGTGGCTGAATGGCTGAACGCTGTGCAGTGTGACAGCGTCCTAAAAGAGAATGGGTGAAGTGTGGTGATGCTATACTCCGACAAGTACACTCTTCTCCTACTACGCATGTTTACCAAGCACTTGCAGCACTCACTCTACTCTCGTGAGTGTTTGAGGCAATAGTTTCACTACATGTCATTGTAATCGTCTTCAACAGATTGATAAGGGCAAAATACACTGACTTGAGAGATAGCGAGAGCACAAGGGGACACTTACGTCTCATCGGATACCGATTGGTTCTGCGAAGGCTCGGCCGGTGTTGCAGCCTGCGTGAATAGTCGGAGGGCATCCTAGAATTGAACATGCCAAGCAAATGCAAAATGAGTCAACTAGGACACACAGCACAAACATATGACCAGGTATTGGTCCATCACACACAAGCCATGCACAGAAACACAATACCGAAGAGTTAGGCAGTTAGCAGTTTAGCAAGTTATGTTGTCAGAAGTTAGACATGGCCGACCATGCGAAGAGCGATTACAATATTAGTCACATTAGGGGCTACTCTTAAGGCCGATTCATACTTCATTTCGCGTACGGGAAACGCGTCGCAAAAAAAGTTGATCTGAGCTCAACTATTTCGCGTCCGGGAAAGCCATCGCGCGATGGTCGCGCATGACTTTCCCGTGTGCGAAATGAAGTATGAACCGGCCTTTATTTGCAAGTTCTAAAAGCGAAATCTAAATGTCCTGCCCTGCATCAAAACTATCACTGTGAGGAAGAATTCCCATCTTAGAAAGCCACCAACTTGGTATGTCTGCAGCAGCAGCAAAGTCACCCCCCCCCCCCCCCCCCCCGACAAGCCCATATCATCTGACCAAGAGGTACTGCAACATAACACATGCGGCAGGACAAACTAGAGGGCAGTGAGTGAGTGCAAAAAGAACACGCAATGACCTTCATCTCGCGTGACAGGCCGCTTTGATCTGGTGACGGCGCCCGAGCTGGCGGTGGCAATGGAGGTGGTGGTGGAGGCAGCGGAATACTGCTTGCAGCTTCTGAAAAGCCGTTAAGATTCTCTGCCGTACCAGCCCCACTGGTTGATCCAGAGCTGCTGCCGACAGTCTTATTCATGAGCGGTCTCTGAAGGTTACGTTGGCTGGCAGAGCGCATTAGCTCCATCATCTCTCTTCAAACTTGTCGGCTACGCCACCAGTCTCGGCAAAAACAGGTGCTTCGTCCGAGCTGACGACATGCGACTGTGAAAGGCAACAACGTGACAATGGCAACGTGAGATATGATATATGGCTTGAGGATGGCCTTCTCCTCTCTCTCTCTCTTCTCTCTCTCTCTCTCTCTCACTCTCTCTCTCTCTCTCTCTCTCTCCCCCTCTCTCTCTCTCTCTCTCTCTCTCTCTCTCTCTCTCTCTCTCTCTCTCTCTCTCTCTCTCTCCCCCTCTCTCTCTCTCTCTCTCTCTCTCTCTCTCTCTCTCTCTCTCTCTCTCTCTCTCTCTCTCTCTCTCTCTCTCTCTCTCTCTCTCTCCCTACACATACACACGCGCACACACGCGTTATCCATACAATGACCTCAACAGTAGCATAAGTCAGGAATCGAAAATAGATGGCATATTATGACAAGGAGCCCCCAAGCAAATGATTCTTTGTACGCGGAGGTTTGTTTGATTCGAACATTCGTTCGTTGGAATTCGAAATGAATACCATTGGAACCTTTGTCACAAGCAACATTAGTCAGAATCAAAACTGACGTCACAAATCTCCACCATAGTGTTCAAAGAGCTACTGTCCACGAGTAGGTGGAATATCGCGAGATTGGCACATACACACAGAGTTAGATTGTTAGTAGGTTAGAGGCGGTCAGCCATGTTTGTTCTCAGTACACAGTCATCATCATGCATAAGGCAAGGTACATCTGATCATCATCATGCATAAGGCAAGGTACATCTGATCATCATCATGCATAAGGCAAGGTACATCTGATCATCATCATGCATAAGGCAAGGTACATCTGATCATCATCATGCATAAGGCAAGGTACATCTGATCATCATCATGCATAAGGCTAGGTACATCTGATCATCATCATGCATAAGGCAAGGTACATCTGATCATCATCATCACCACGGGTACCAGCATCCATGATGGTAAGATTACATAACCCCAAGAGTGTGCAGCAGCGGCTATGGGGTCTGCGGTGGCAGAACATCACACCACGCGACAAATCCGTACACATACTTTACATCCTGCGCATGATAGCAAGAGTACATAACCCCCAGAAGTGCACAACTCCAGCTATGGGGTCTACGTCTCTACGACGGCAGAACTTCACATCACGCGACGAACGTGTACACATTATTTGCACCCTGTGCATGATAGATACAGGCTTGTACGCAACCCTGCTTCGGTTTCAACTCTCTTGTGGTCACTTTGCACTGTTTGCCAGCATAACCGTTGAACCATATCATGCGATGCAAAGTTCTGCCGTCGCAGCACCGTATGGACCTCATGCACGTTGTACAGATGCACAAAGTTCTGCACTAGGATCGTAGGTTTGTACAGAGCCGGTTGGGTGTTCATTGTGTGCTCTGCATGCGCATTTGAACAATTTTAGCCTCATAATTAATGGCAAACAAACGCTTTTCCAGCTTCTTCACTTTGGTTAGAACTAATGACTAGCTAGATCTTCGTCAGAAAAAAAGTTTTCGTATGAAAAGCCTTCAGGGCCCATTTCTCAGTGGAAATAGCAGAAAACACAATAGGGTCCTGCACATTCAACATCCAACCGGGTCTACGAGATTCTATGGAATTTCGTGCATCTGTCCAGCGTGCATAATGCTCATAAAGCTTGTGCAGGCAATTGCACACTCTTTACACAGTGCTGCGATGGCAGAACTTCACGTCACGGGCAATGGTTCAAAAGGATACGCTGGCAAACAGTGCAGAGTGCCCACAAGAGAACTGAACATGAACCCAAAGCAGGGTAATGCACAGGGTGCAGATAATGTGTACAGGTTCGTCACATGATGAGAAGTTCTGCCGCCACACACCCCATAAAAGGAGTTGCACAATCTTGGGGTTATGTGCTCTTGATGATAGATGCGGGGGTGTACATAACCCTGCTTTGGGTTCAACTCTCTGGTGGTCACTTTGCACTGTTTGCCAACGTAACCTTTTGAACCATGTCCCGTGATGCGAAGTTCTGCCGTCGCAGCACTGTATGCTGTAGAGGTTGTGCAGGCGGTTGCACACGCTTGGGGGTTATGTACTCTTGACGATGGTTATTGCCATGGACCACGCAACAAACTGACATAAAGCCATGCTGTTTAGTGCACATGCTCACGTAGTTAAACCTTACCGCGTTCTTGTCACTCTCACTGCCCTCCTTGGACTTCTTATCCTCCTTGCGTCCTGCTATTGGTGAAGTGAGATCACGGTTGTTCTTGGAACCGCCGCCCACAGATTTGTTGATGGTTCCGGACGAGGGCGTGAAGAACATTCTTGTCCATAACGCCACGTTGGTGTTGAGATCCGCAGCTCTCTGGAAACCTGAGTCAAAAACATGCCATGAACACACCATAGACCATAGATAGGGATATCAGCGAACGCACTGCGCAGCCCATCTGCGCAGGTCAGCCTGGCCCATCTACGCGCGGCCGACAAGAAAACTCATGAACACTTTCATTTTTTTGCAAAATAAATCGTGTGAAGAAGATGCACGGAATGGCTGAAAACTAGGCTGAGGAATAGTAGCATCCAGAGACTCTCAAACAAATTCATGGTCCATCGCTTCTGACAATGGCAGGGAAGACATCAGGGAGCTGATTGCAGCAACTCTCTACCAAGCGCGATTCTGGTTACTCACCAGGGCAGGGCGCTTCCATCGGGCAAGAAATGGCCGCGAGCGAGAAATGCAAGTCCGATTTTGGAACGATCCAACCAGGGAAATCTCTTGAAATTTGGCCTGAACACCTCTCATACTGGTGTTTCACGATGTGCAAACTTTTAGAGAAATCGACCGGGGAGAACGTGGTGAGTACGTGGGTCCTTCGTCTCGCGTATGATTTGAATGGTCGCGGGGACAGAAGAACAGTAATTTTACGACTCCCAGCGGTGCAAACAGACCGCGGCCATGTTTTCTCTGTCGGCCGCGATCACGTTCAAAAAATCGATGACGCAATGCATGCGCAGAGGCCTGCGCAGTGCGTTCGCTGACATCCCTACCATAGAAGTTAGGTGATCAAGTCACATGAGCACAGCACAGACCAAAGTTAGGCAGCCAACAACATTAGAGAACAAATATGCTGGACAGTAGCACATTGCAAAGCAAAGAGTAGAATACAAAGCTGGCCTCGCACTGACCTTCTCCCTTCCTCTTGAAGATGCGGCCTCTCTTCAAGTTGACCTTGCGTACACCAGACTCTGGAGGCTCGTATTGAATCTAAGCAGAGCACAAGACAACGGTGGATTAGTTTCAGTCCAGTCATGAGAGTCTGGATTCGGAATAGAATCGGTAAGCAACGTAGACACAGATGGTTGGCTACGATCAACGGCATGACAAAGAAAAGGAAAGGCCCCTTGGCATGACAGACAGCAACCCCGGCTCTGATCGCAGTACAAGCCGATACGCATGACAAGTGCATGTGAACCAAAATGCAAAGCCAATTCGATATCCATCCACAAATGGACAAGTTGCCGCCAATTTTTCTCGTTCTGTGCGCAGATTTCCAGTAGCAGGTCTGTGAATCTGGGTAGCGTCAATCTTGTACTTACCTCACAGTGCAGGTGACCTTGTGGGATGACACGCAGCTGCTGTTCAAAGCGGTTCATGTGAAGATACTCGTCCAGCTTGACGTACACCAGACCGACAAGGTTTTGCCGGTCGTGTCGGAAAAGCAGAATCTCGATTTCACGTGCCTACACAGGATAACACACACACCAGAAAGCACGGTCACCGCAATTGCCCGTGGCACCAGCAACACCATCATAAGCCCAACTCGCATGCATTTGCAAGTGTGTGTGTGTGTGTGTGTGTGTGTGTGTGTGTGTGTGTGTGTGTGTGTGTGTGTGTGTATGCGGTGTGTGCAATCGCACAATCAGCCAGCTGTGTGGTGTAGACCAGGCTAAAAACAGTAGCGGTCAATTCATCAGCCTTGCACGCTGTTGAATGGCATAATCCCAGCACAAGTTGCTATGCCTGAAAAAACTGTTCGCTATCATCGCTTCCGCGATGGGCATGTCTGAGTGTGTGTGCACGCTCGGGCGCATGTGTAAGACACAAAGAGAGAGAGCGGAAGCCAGAGAGAAAAGCAAGGCATAGCGGAGTGTCGGATAGCCACATGTTTCACAATGTGAGCTACGCGTAATCTTCCCGCCGTTTGGCTTCGTGGGGCAAGTCCACTTTAGCCGCACACAGAACTCGTATGTCACCAGCTCCGCACAAAAGGTCATGGATTGGGTACAGTCCTACCTACAGGTGCACTAGAGCTGGCTTTACTGCTAAATATGGGACAAGTTGCAAAAAGGCTGCAGCCATGGGCAATGCAGAGGTGCCATTCAAATAAAATAGCAGAGTGCCGCGTACCTTAGTGACTTGAATGCGGAATGCAGTCTGCCAGCACGACACGTCCATTGGCTTCCAGGTAGTGGTTGCAAGCTCGTTGCTATCCACTCGCAGGATGGCCTTGACATCATTGGTACCTACACGGGCAAACAGGTATGCACATGCACAAGCACACACACATACACAAATAGTAGGGGAAAAAGGTCTCAACAATGCAGGCTGACGACATACCAAGCATGAGGCTAAGGACGCACAAGTAGTGAAGAGCAGGATTAAAAAAGTCAATGCTTGAATTCCGCTGTCTACATTCAACATACATTCTGAGTCACTATAGTAGGTGCAACCGATGACGCATATCCATGCACACATATAAAGAGAAACATCACAATTTATAGCAGCCACCACACTGACTGCAGGAACGAGATCAGAACCAAGAGCGGATAGACATACCGTGTGTTTCGACAGAGGAACCTCTCTTCGGCAGGGTCTTGAGTGAGAGTGTGGTGGTTGTACCGCTACAGTGCTCAGAGCACAAGTCCTCCACACCGCTCAGCGTGATCAGAACTGAACCAGTGACAGGCACAGGCATGGGCCAAGGGTAGAGCGGTGCATTGCGACCAGCCACCTGGGCAAACTTTTCCGTTGGTGACTCAGCCGTGCTGGATGAAGATGCTTCTGCCTCAGCTGCGGGTCGCTGCAAAAGCAAAACAAGACGAGGAATACAACACAAATGACAAAATAGCTAAATACGAATATTCAAAATAGAAGTACATTATGTGCGCATTGACAATCGGATGCGAAAAAACCAGTATATCGCCTCCCTCAAGTGCATGTGTGATTGCACACACACACACACCTTTGAGGCCCATCGCCGGAGGCGATGATAGCAATGCTACGGCAGAAGCCATAGCAACTTGTGCTGGGATTACACAATTCAACAGCTTGCAAGGCTGAGGAATTGACCATCACTATTCAGCCTGGTCTACACCATACAGCTATTTGGAGTGACATTTTCTGGCCAGTAAATCCCTATTTTTGGTCTTTTCATTTTTTTCCCCCCGCACACACATCACACCACATACTCCGGCATGCACTGGCTGTTGGTAACCACCCAGGAGAATGAAAGAAAAGTCAGGAAGAGTCTGAGAAAGAGAAGAAAGACGTGTGTGACCATAATCGTCGGGAATCGAACCCGCAATCTATCGATTGGAAATCGCTGCACATACCACTGCACCATATGGGACACACACACACACACACACACACACACACACACACACACACACACACACACACCTGGTCCTGGTAAACACTGCCATTACGGTCACGTGTCCCCTTACGGGGCCGACAATATAGAACGACGAGCGGGACCATGTTCGAGAGAGCCATCTCCAGCAGCTATGGATCTGGCTTATCATCGGAAACGATTCCTCTCACGGCTGCCGCTAGAACTGGTCCATCACTCTCCACAACAGAGTGAACATTCCATGAGCCAACGCTCAGAGTCGTTCCAAGTCGTCGTCTTCGTGCGGTAGTTTGCTCCACTCGCGGGCTTGCAAAGCCTCGCGAAGGACTCCGAGGTGGGGGCGACGAGGAGAGTGTCGGCATCGTAACTATCAGACCAAGTCTCCTGTCGGTGAATACCCCACCTCAGGCACTGTTGGCCTGGATGGCTGGGGACACCCCAGGCCGTCCACAACGGCGAGAACAAGCACGTACGGAGGCCAGAAACAAGAGCCCGAAAAAGTACAACCGTCCTCCACCAGAGCAGAGAACACACACATTGTCAAGATGTTCAGCTATTTGAAAGATTTTCTTATCGTCGGAAACGATTCCTCTTACGGCGGCCGCTCGAACTGGTCCATCACTCTCCACAACAGAGCAAACATTCCATGAGCCAATGCTCAGAGTCGTTCCAAGTTGTCGTCTTCGTGCGGTAGTTTGCTCCACTCGCGGGCTTGCAAGGCCTCGCGAAGGACTCTGAGGTGGGGGCGACGAGGAGAGTGTCGGCATCGTAACTATCCGACCAAGTCTCCTGTCGGTGAATACCCCACCTCAGGCACTGTTGGCCTGGATGGCTGGGGTGTCCCCAGGCCGTCCACAACGGCGAGAACAAGCACGGAAGGAGGCCAGAAACAAGAGCCCGAAAAAGTACAACCGTCCTCCACCAGAGCAGAGAACACACACACGAACACACACACGAACACACACACACACACACGTACACACACACGTACACACACAGAGGCTCAGAACTAAAAAGGTGCATGAATCGATGACAACCAAAAGTCAGTTCAAACCCCCATGTGAAAACTCCGTTGTGTTCCAGCGTAACGAAACAAACATCAAACCTACCGATCGGACGGAGAGTTCCAAGGCAGTCTCGAGCAGATCAAGCCTTCGCCTTCCATCTGACAGCTGCTGTTGAGTCTACAATGCAGCAGCAGCAACAACACACAATGAAACAATAACTTGTGCAGCACACACCCATTGGTAAGCAAAGAAAGGCAAGGACAAGGGCACATTATTGCAACCAGCAGGCAAAGCAGACACAAATCTACCAGGATCAGACCCATACCGGAATGAATAGTCTCAGCTACGGCCGCGGTCACACCGAGCTCGATTCAGCCGTTCAGCCGAAAAAAGCGCTTGTTTACGTCACTATTACCATGGAAATGGCTGAAAAATGTCCTACAAGCGACTTTCAGCCGTGGCTGACTCTCAGCCGTTTTTTTCGGCTTGTTTCAGCCAAAGCTTGTACAAGCGGCTGAAAGCCGAAATTCAAAAAATAATTTGAGTGCGCTTGGAGCACACCATGTAGCTAGTTGACATGATGAACTGATATTGATGTTCTTTCTTGTGTCCGTGGAACCGTGCTATCCCTGTGCCTTTGGTTTTGACCGTGAGTCTGTCTATCCAACTACACTGTATTCAGTTTGATTTGGATTTTGTCCGACGACCATGGATTTCTGCCGCTGTGCCTCTAGACTGCTGCGTAGATTGTTGGAGCTGTGGTTTGAGGCCAAGACAAGGCACCACACTCACGACCGAATTCCTGAAGAAAGCCGGGTACGAAGAAGTGAGTGGATTGCAACTGAGTTGAAGAACGGCAACCGGCGGGGCAGAAAGCTCGACATCAGGAAACACCACCCGAACCATCGCGTCCATGCATACCGAACAAATAAAAAGAGCACGACTTCGCAATTCAGAATCCGGGCTTCCTTTGCTTCTTCATCAAAACTGAACACTAGAACAAGTACAGTTTTAGATCGTGAACGTTCTGCTTTCCGCTTCTTGCAAACATTGGTGTGTTTCGAGATATACAAAATTTGGCGGGTAAGAAAAACAAGCCATTCAAGCTTTGCACTCAAGGTCTGGTGTGACCACGTCACAGGGACCACGCAAGCCAGCTGAGCGCCAGCGATAACACGCCCAAAGTGGCTTGTTTCGGTGTGACCGGGGCCTAAGTCAATACCACTACGGAATGCACCTAATCACCTGTAGACATACACACTAACGTGACCACCCACCTGCACAGACATGTACACAGACGTGCACTCACATACACATACACACACACAGACACACACGTGTTCCAGACAGCAACTATCACCACCTTACCATGCTGATGGCCTTCTTGTCAGTTGTGGTCATCCTTAGCATGTTCTCACAGCCAGATATCAGGCGACGCTCGACATCAATGCGATAGTCCAGGAACTGCTCCCAGTCCTTCGACGATGCCATGTAGCTGTTCTCCATCTCATCGCTCTTCTCCGCCGTGCCGTCAATCTTGCGCTGAGCAAGCATCTTCTCCTGTAGGATCTTCATGCGCAACACTTCAATCTTCTGCTTGCTATTTGCGAGCACCTGCAAAGGTCGGGACACAGCAAAAACAAACACAATCCTGGAGAGTAAAATCGATGATAGGAGGAGTAAAGAGAAGGTATTTTACGACAAACTCGTACAATGATTTGCACCCAGTGCATGAAAGATGCAGGGTTGTATGCAACTCTGCACTGGGTTCAAATCTCACTTTGCACCTTGCCAGCGCAACCTTTCGAATCATGTAGCGTGTTGTGATGTTTTACCGCCGCAGCAGTGTATAGAGGTTGTGCAGGCAGTTGCACACTCCTGGGGTCATGTAGTCTCGCTAACACAGACCAAAAAACATGGGTACAAGACCTGCATGTTTTGCATGTATGTCTGTCTATACAGAAACATCTTTACTCAATCTGCGGACAGAACTGTTTCGTCCTTTGTGGACTCCGAAACATCTTTAAAAATACAATAAAACAATTTGATGCTCATTGGCTTGAGGGAAAGATGCCGTCGCTACTAATGCTAATACACACCAACATTCAACATGCAGCGTAACGTTACCTGTATTGTCTGATTGCGAATCTTGTCCTGCTCCTTGCCGCCACCGCCAAGCGTGCGAAGCATGTTCTCCGACCCATCACGCACCTTCAGCTCCACTGTCATCTGCTTTTCTAACAGCTCGAGGCGCGCAACCTGCGGTGCGGTCATGTGCTCCTGTTCCTGCTCAGATAACGACGTGGAGGGAACAACGCCGCTGCCGTCATTTTCGTCTGGCGCTAAGGGGACAAATGACACACATACACACACAGGAAACCAACAGGGACAGTTAAATTTTGGAAGCATGCAGTCAAACACACAGACACACACACACATACGCGCGCGCGCACACACACACACACACACACACACACACACACACACACACACACTATCAACGAACTTCAAAGCTGACACAAATTCGACGTAGGGCTAGGAAGGCATCCCATGACTATGCGCAATTCTTCAAAGAGGAGTGTACCAGGCTACAGAACATGGCACCTCCAGTGAGTTCACATAGGCGCTCATTTATGTTCGTGTGTGTGTGCCTGGGTGGAAAACGGCACGATCACGGTTTTAACCGTTTATAACGGTGCATAAACTTCCATAAACACCGCGCCTTTGGGCTATATTTAGCGTACAAATACCAATGTACGTTGCTTATAGCAAAAGAAGATCCCCAGAGTGTGCAAGTATGCGTTAGATTATATCGCAGTGAAAGGCGAAAATATCGTGCCAGGGTAATCAGGTCATAATATGTGGCAGGATGTATGACTTTTCAGGCACATCTGTGATTGGCCGGCGCACAAAGTGTGATTGTTGTACTCGCCTTTGTGTAGTAGCACGCACTACGATGTAAGAAGTTTGTACTCAGCTGTGACGAATCGCCATGCAGAAAGTTATGTACAGTTGCACAACCTGGGGTGTTCTGGACTCTAGGTTACAGCTAATGTCATGTAGATACATAAGGGTGAACATCAGTCCATAAACTCTTTTCCATGACAGATGGCCCAGTCCTTTGTTTATGAACTACCTGCAATACCCCAGACACAGTGCCTGCATTTGAAATCAAGTCTGGTTGAAGTAGTCAACAGCAGGTCAAAAACGAAGTTCAATGACAACAGGTACATGTGCTACAGAACATAAAGATGATTAGATTCGCCATGCACATGCACACCCAATACTCTACTGCCCATACTGCAACAGGATGCATCATTTGTCACATTCGAAGTGAACACACCAAGTGTCCCATCTCAAGCCGCTGACAGGACAGGACAGGAAATTATCTCGCAGTGAGCGAAGATGATAAGGAATACAACCAGTCTGCACAGAGATATGGGTGCAGCGAGTTCAAACACTACAACTCTGAACTATACTCTATAGTATGGGCTATAGCAGGGTCAACAGTAGAACATGAAACTGTGTAGCAAGTCACAGACAGTCAAGCACAGTCGAGCCAGTGGCAGCTGGGTGGAGTTGTGTCAAATCTTTCTGTAAAAATAAATTGAATTTATTGATACTCTCATTTCGATCCACCCATTATGGTTTCATATCGAGTAGCGGGACGAACAGACTGGACTTATCACGCGCACGATTGCGCGACCTGTTATGAATATCGATCGTACGAGGTGTTGTGTTGTACATGCACCAGACGTCGGTGTATGTCGACATGTCGTACATCTACCAAGAATATTTTTATTTTTTCCTAGCAGCAGAACAGCCAGATCAGAAGCCGTCAAAATAATTGAACGATTGTGAATGTGACTGTATTGCGCTAAAGTCAGCAAACTCGCCGTTCTGAAGCAGTAACCAACAGCGAATCTTTTGCTGTGTCGGCCATTCAACATGCGATTGGAAGTACGAGCAGCGTACACGCCTTTCAAACTGGGAACAGAGCGCAATGAAGCAAACGAGGCACTCAAAAACCGGATCACATGAACAAAGGAAAAAAAGAACGAACAAGGGAAGCATCCTGTCAACTCTGCACTGCAAGAGGTCGAAGCAACAGTCAGACCAATGCCGAGCGCGAGCCTTTGACAGAAAACATGATTATTAGTAACAGAAATGTGCATGCTGGTGTGAATGACGAAAGGGGAGACGTTTGCTTTACGCACTGGCCAAATACAGTCCCTTCAAAATGCAAGGGAATGGGAAGGGCGGAAATGGATCTCAAAACAAGAACTTCTGAAGATCCAACACATCTTCTCAACCTGCCTCTCTTGAGCAAAAAATCGACTGGAATGCGAGGATCACAAACGAGATGGCCAAGAACACCGGGGTAGTGCCGGCCTAACCCAGAGACCGGGGAGAGAAAAGGCCCTCCGTACATACCAAATAATATGTTGACAACTGACTGATTACAATACGTGTTCAAAGGACAACGTTGCGATTTGAAAGGACACAAACATCCCAGAAGAACGCACAATAAGCAATAAAAGGTGTTACTGAAGGCATCCACTCACCAACTGAGTCGGCAATAACCGTATTGAGTCTCTCCAATTCATCTTGCAGTTTAGAAATCTTCAGCTGGCAAGTTTTCAGGATTGCTGTAACCGATCGACGTTGTTTGGCATCTTTGGCAACTTTAGCCAAGTTATCAGCTCCCTCTTTGATTTTCAACTCCTTGCGGATCTCAGCCTTGATCTTGTCTTTCCTAGACTCCAAATCTACGTCCAAAACACTGTTGGATACGGATTTTTCCAGTTGAGGGGGCTCCATGACAGGTTGCGAGCTGGCTCGTCTTCCTGCAAGGCCTGGAGTTGGCATTTCAACGACCCAAGCCAAGCAGATATGGAACACAGAGAGTTTGAAAGAACCGACCCTGCACCGCACACTCCGTAGCGCGCACCGCGCGTTTGCGATCCTATTTTTTTGCCGCCTCCTACGAGCAAACGCTACAGGGACACTCAGTAGCGCACCCCATACGTTCAAAAACTAACGTTACTTGGCTACCTTCTGTGCTGCTGTTTGGAGCTACAGCTGCCCACACCGGCTGAGGACTTCTGAAAACTAACAACACTGTTCTTCTCCACAATCGTCCTCGAAGTCAACGACTTTACGACTACTCGACTCCGCAGTCGGAGGTGATGTAAAAGAAAGCTGCATGAAGATTATTTTCGCCCCAGAAAATCATGTCAGCTGCGAGTGCACAAATGCCAATGCCAATGGTCACTGCATGCAGTTTTGCAGTACGGCAGTCAGTCATGCATATGGGCATGGTTGAGGTAAAAACAGTACTGTCACTCAGTAGAGCATGCATGGTGACCGGGGAGAACGAGTAGGGTGATCTGGTGATGTTGACCCTCGTGAGTCGTGTAGTGTGCAGACGTCACTTGCACTTGAACAGTCAGTGTCGCTTGTATGATTGTATTCACACCTTCGACATGTCTTTCCCGTATTCATGGTATTCGGTTCAGAACGTAGATCTGCGTGCCCACTATGTCGCAAGTATGTACCATGATTGTGCTAGTGCAGTCTGTATGCACTGCCACCATGGCCACTGGCACCACACTGCATGCCCACACTGGGCCACAGCAGCAGCGTGCTAGCATGCTGCACATAATCGTCATTCACCATTTTTGGCAGTGTGTTATCATGGTTATCTGGTTAGATGTACCGCGGTACCGGTACATGTATGTGTGGTAGTCATGACCACTGTCACTATGCACGCTATGCGGATAAGGCCGGCAGAAAAATTGGCTGAATTCGGTACTTTTTCTGGTAGGTTTCATGCATGTTTGGTATGTGGATAAAGAAATGGAGCAGAATTCGCCGGGAATTGCCCGCCATAAGGTTTGTATGGTTCTGCCAATTTCACTGTATTTCGAGCATTATCCGCACACCCCTAACTGTCACTGATCGATGCCGTCATCATAGTGTTATATTTTTTTATACATGTACATACATGTACACTGTAAAAATGATTCCTTGCCGTGGTTGGCTAACACCCTCTCTCTTTGTATTGGCCGGTGCTCTGTGCTATGAGATGCTGTAATAAATAAATAAATAAATGAATAAATACACTGTACATAATGTCTGTACATGGATAATGATGACAGCATAGCACAACGAGGCGGATGTCATTATTAATTTTGCCTATTTTGGCTTTGGGGTTTATTTTGAAGTGGCAACAGAGTGAATAGTGTACTCCACAGCGCGGCGCAGCAGCACCAGTACTGTAGACTGGTATACGATACGTACATGTACATGTACATGTACATGATTGGTTTCAAGAAAACAAGCCCAGGCTTGCGAATTAGATGGTTTGGAGGCAACAGCGCTGTGAATGGCCAATGGTCCTCAGCGCTGTGAATGGCCAATGGTCCTCAGCGCTTGTTCACTGTTCAGCACCTCCATAAACGAAACTGACTCCAGCTGCTATCTGCTGTTCTCCAGGTGTGTGTCGCGCTAGAAACGGAGCGTCTCTGTAAGTATGTTTGTATCCCTGGTGATGTTTGTGCCTGGAGAGAACTATAATTATTATAACTTATAAGTATAAGTGGTGCTCTTCCAGGGGCGTCGGACACGGTGCGGTCACTACGGTATTGACCGTACCACTTTTTTCCCCAGGTACCCTGTGAATGAATAAAATACTATAAATACACTGATCTGGGATCTAAATTTCCAAAATTTTCGGCTCAGCCACCCCTCTCCCCACGAGTGAAATGTACTTTAGATGGCTGACCGTACCACACTAAAATACCTTCCGACGCCCCTGTCTTCAGGCACAATCTTCCTCAGCCTAGTCAAGCTCAACTGATGATCGAGGGGTGAATTCCCCGAATAATGCTCCGAAAATGTTCGTATAATGCTGATCATAATGCTCCAAAAAACTACCCTGTAATGCTGATTATAATGCTTCAACAAGGGCTATAATGCTCTTGGTTTGGAACAAAAATGGAAAAAGGCTGCACATTGTCAAAACTTCCAGGAAAGGATGCATTTAGCCGATTGGCCTCTGAAACTGCTACAACACCTCTCACCAGCTCTACCACTTCTTAGCAATATAACACATGATCGCGTCTCCATTGGTTGCTCTCCATTGCAACTTTGATGCAGGGCTGTGGCTCAATGGTGGGTGTATCAAATCGTTTCCCTTGCTTATCCATGCAGTGAAAGGTGAACCCATTATTTCTGGTGATCATTTGGATGTTGGAAGCTTATCATGGGAAGTGGTATTCCTGCCTGCAGAAAAGCTGTCACTGCTTCCACTCTGTGAAAAATGTCTTCATCTGAAACAGCTCACGTGAGGCCAGTTCCTGAGGGACGATCTCAGATCGAGATCCCTCCCATTTGTGGAAATCCTGAAAACACGGGGTCAGAAGTTATTTCGCCGTTCTACATCCTCTGCTTGTTGTTGTTGTTGTTGTTGTTTATTTATTTTACATCGCATGGCAAACGGGCAGTTCTGCCCAATATTATGAAAGCGATGACAACAAAAGCTTGCGCTGTCTCCTTCTCCTGAGGTTGCGTGGAGACAAATGGTTGGCCACAATACTCTTCTTTTCTGATAGCACTTCACTTTAGGCCTTGCATCACAATCGTCCACGACGAACTGTACGTGCTTCAACAGGAAGACACGCGCTCCTGAGCACTCAAATCGACTTGGCGCTGCGTCCATGAGAAATTCTAGTTCTTTTCGAGCCTGCTGAGCTGGACTCGGCAAAGGCAGTTATTTGGAACAAGCTCTTTCTGGTTATAGCCGCTCCTTCATCCAAATGTATCAATGGATCAGTGTTTACTTCAGTATCGCTAGAGATGCTATGGCCAGAGCCTATAGTATGGCATAACAGGAAAACTCCTCTTCGTCTGTTTGATATTCACTTCGCGTACACCTAGTCTCCTCCGTGACCTGGTGATTCTCCATGACTTCTAAAAAAGAACTCCTCGTAAATCATCGTTACGGATTTTGTGTAACAGCCTCAGTTGCAATAATTATTATTAATATTTGCAAATTGGGCATGCTACATTGCCTGTACTTCAACGAAGTACATCATGGTACATTTACCTGACTATGTACATAAAGACTTTATGTAGCAATGGCATTACATGCACATGTATGTAGTCAGGTAAATGTAGCATTAGTGCTAAAGGTGTTGCGTGTCTACAAATCACAAAGTCATGTGCTGGTACAACACGTGGTGTTGCACCTCATGGCTTTAGCCGATTGTTGCAAAAAAACCCTGATATTTCCCGACATTATCCACTATTAAACTCGTTATGCCGCTCAAACCTCACATAATGCTCGTCTTGTTCCTTTCTAATGCTCTGATGCTCGGATCGTCTCATAATGCCGAATATAATGCCGGCATTATCCGCTGGACCCTGGCAGGGAGTGGTACTTTCTTGCAGGTTTGCGAGTGGACGGTTCGATGGACTTCTCGTGTGCTCTGGATCGCAGTCGTGAGTCAGTCAAGTGAGACAAGTCGGCAGGAAAAGCGCGAGCTCCCATGTAGGAAGCAACACACAATTCCCCAAGACCAAGTATCGCCGAAGTCGCACCAACCTCTTCAAAACAAGGTTTATCTACTGTACAATCATACTGTACACTCATGTAGATCTACATTAAATTTTTGTTGGTTGACAGCATGTAACAAGGTGGAGGACACCGTGTTCGGAAACAGTGACCTTTCCACCAGGGAGTAGTACAATACGTATTGTACATGTACTACTCCCTGCTTTCTACAACCATGCACGGTTGGTAGAGCCTCGGTCGGTTGCGACCAGGGAGTCGTAAAAGGCTTTTAAAGGGGAAGTATACCCTAAAATCAAATTTTCACCAGTTGTAGTCTTCTGGGTGCTGAGTCGAATGGTCTTGGTCCGAGGAAGCTGCGACGCTCCCTTCCTACTTGAATCCCAATCGAACTCGCGCACTTCCACCGAAACTGGGTGACTGCGCCCTACTAGATGGGGATTTGTATGCAAAATGTCACTAAAAGCGCCATTTCGTTCTTATAAAAGCACGGATGACCGCGATTGGCCCATATGTTGTAGTCTTTTGGACGCTGAGTCGACTGGTTTTGGTCCGAAAAGCCTGCGATGCAGCGTTCCTCCTTTATTCCCAATCGAACATGGTTGAACAAGCGGTCACGTGCTCCTGGGTGCCCAAATCACCTGGTCACCGCGCCAGCACAGGCCCAGCAGGCGACAACTTTCACACCAAGGTTCAACTCGAGTTCAACTCGAGTGACAGGACTGCACCCAGAAAAGGTCAAACAGGCTAGTAAGTTGTACCCTGCAGGCACGGTGACCAGCTGACTGGTGTACGCAGGAGCACGTGACCGCTTGTTCAACCATGTTCGATTGGGAATAAAGGAGGAACGCTGCATCGCAGCCTTTTCGAACCAAAACCAGTCGACTCAGCGTCCAAAAGACTACAACATATGGGCCAATCGCGGTCATCCGTGCTTTTATAAGAACGAAATGGCGCTTTTAGTGACATTTTGCATACAAATCCCCATCTAGTAGGGCGCAGTCACCCAGTTTCGGTGGAAGTGCGCGAGTTCGATTGGGATTCAAGTAGGAAGGGAGCGTCTCAGCTTCCTCGGACCAAGACCATTCGACTCAGCACCCCGAAGACTACAACTGGTGAAAATTTGATTTTAGGGTATACTTCCCCTTTAAGTTTTACGACTCCCTGGTTGTGACCATCTGAACCGTAGTCTCGCGTAGATCAATGGGTTTTACTTTTACTTAGACCCAGACAGTATCATGTATGAATAGTCTACCAAGCGAGTTCTGTACTCTGATACTGAGATGTTGCCAACACTGATCGACACTACTGTATTTTGAGAACTATTTTGACTGAGCTCCATGCATTGCAGCCTTGTCATTGTTGAAAGCCTTGAAAAGACTATCTTCGCAGGCGTCCGCAGTCCTTTGGCTACACAAATAAATAATTCAAAATGCACATGATACACCATTGCAGACTCTGAGAGGCTCTGAGTTGTAGTGTGAGTTTTTCTTGTTTTTCTTGCTCAGTGCAGTGCGTCAGGCAACCTGGGGACGCTGTTTGCCACGCCAGCTCAAATACATACATGTACATATTGTGCACCCACTCAACTTTTATGTTTATGTATCTATGTCATTCGGATCTTCTCAA